TCTATTAGTTCCAGTAGTTTTCTTGTGGATTCTTTGGGGTTTTCTGTGTATAAGATCATATCATCTGCAAATAGAGATACTTTGACTTCTTCCCTACCTATTTGGATGTCCTTTATTTCTTTTTCTAGTCTAACTTCTCTGGCTAGGACCTCCAGCACAATGTTGAATAGTAGTGGTGATAGAGGGCATCCTTGTCTGGTTCCTGTTCTCAAGGGAAATGCTTTCAAAGTCTCTCCATTTAGGATGATGTTGGCTGTTGGTTTTGTATAAATGCCCATAATTATATTGAGGAATTTCCCTTCTATTCCTATGTTATTGAGAGTTTTTATCATGAATGGGTGTTGGACTTTGTCAAATGCCTTTTCTGCATCGATTGATAAGATCATGTGGTTCTTGTCTTTTATTTATGTGATGGATTACATTATTTTTCTAATGTTGAACCATCCCTGGATACCTGGTATAAATCCCACTTGGTCTTGGTGAATTATTTTTTTGATATATTGCTGAATTCTATTGGCTAAAATTTTGTTGAGTATTTTTGCGTCAATGTTCATGAGGGATATTGGTGTGTAATTTTCTACATCGTGTACTCTTTATATTGCTGCATTGCTTAGAAAGCCCTCGTTAACATCTAACCCATCTGAAAAACTCCTCTTTTCTTTCAGTCGTTAAATCAGTTTCCCCATTCCCTGTCTCCTTTAGTCAAATTTTGTTGGCATTGCACTTTATACCATATCACATTGCACTTCTAATGTCTTGTTCATATTTTCCTCCTCCCAGGACTGTAAATTCCTTGAGGGCAGGAACTGGACGTTTTCCTCTTTGTATACTCAAGTGCCTTTCACAGTGACTGGTACATCCTAAATGATCAATACATATTAATTGAATAATTAAATGAACATCCTATGCATTATTTCCATCAAGCACTCATCTAGCTGCAGCATAAATATTTTTATTGACTGTGAACCCAGTACCTCTCAATACACTGATTCCATTTTTTTTAGCCATCTCTCTTCATCCACTAGTCCTAGACCCTTACTGCTCTTCTAGTTTTTCAAGAATTTATTAAGTACCAGAGTTAAAAAAGGAAATAAACTAGGCAGGATCTCTATTCTCATGATCTTATATTCTAATGTGGGAAAGATGCAGAGAGACAATAAACAAACAAGGAAATTCAACATGGTAAGTG